TGGACATTACCGTCCCCGGTCAAGTGTTGAAGGGCCACTCCGTCCCACCACGGGATATCTTCCCGCTGCCATTCTGGTGACACGGGGGCGGGACCCCCTACCTGATCTGGAAGCCCGTAGAGGATAGCTCAAATTAGCCGCCTTCCTCCGTGCCACCTGCTGTAATGGTACCGCCACGACAGTTAACCTCTCGGAAGTTTTTTTTTAGGATCCCAAACGATTTGTCACGCCAATTCCTGTAAAACAAATGTTTCATCACTTGATTGCCAATAATCAAAATAGTTGCTTTGTTTACATCGACGGCTCCAAGATCAATGACCACACCGGAAGTGTAATAATTTACAATGAACATTATTACAAAAATTGTCGGTTACCGGATGGGACCTCAATTTATTTGGCTGAATTATTTGCTTTTCTTCATGCGCTACAACATATTCAACAACACACCCCTGCAACGACGACAATATATCATATATTGCACACACAAGGCACTGAACATCACTTTTTGTGTGTTCCAGGATATAGAACTATCACGGGAATGGGAGGGCTGATCAAGTAGCCGAGGAAGCTTCGACAGCTACCCCACACCAGAGATCCCCGTTGATCATGCATCTACGAAGTCTTCGATTCGCACGCTGACAAAATGTTCTTGGCTACGGCAACGGACCGATGCAACCCGAACACAACTTCATGGCATTAATGACATGACATGACATGACATGACGCGTTCGGGTGGGGGTCAAAATGACCCCGGAAGGTTTTCCCGGAATGGTTTCCGAACGTTGCAGCGTAGCCGAGCCAAATTTGACAGATCTGTAGACAATTGAATAAGCGGATCGTCTGGTATCACAGTTTAGATGTACCTTGTAAGGTCACTAATCCAAGGCAGGTCAAAGTCAGGGTAGTGATTTCAGCGAAGGCAATTTCTAAGGAATCGCTTAATCTGATCCAACAACGGAGTGTTAGACGAAGCCATACATTTTAAAGATATTTTTCTAGGAAACACAAAAATTGAATGAACAAGTAACATTGACCTAGGGTCAGGTATGAAGGTCAGACCAAGGTTGAAATCAATCTGTTTTATTCCTCTAAGGCTTACTGCATGGGGTAGTTTCTGGTGCTCACTTCAAATTTATTGATAACAGGAACCGCATTATACGCCTCCCATAGACTTCTTAAAGGCCGGAATAGGTCACTGACCTAGAATGACACAGGCCAAGGTTTCATTTTCAGGAACGTACTGTCTAGCGTAATCTTTGTCGCTTATCGAGATGCAAAACTCAAAGCAGTCTTGTATGATTTTGGTCACCATGCCCTTCAAAAGGTCAAACAAGTTCACTGATGTTACATGAGCATGTGAACTTCTGCTTAGAGCAGTTATCTAAGTTGTCAAGGTTTTTTGGAGGCCAACCTGAAATTTCACCTTGTCTGACCTTATTTGACCCAAAGGTCACGACCTAGGAGCCTTAAACCTCGACCTAGGTGAGTTCACGTACAGGTCAAGACACGCTGTGAATTTGGTGTTTCTAGCTCATTTAGTTCCTGAGATCTCAGGGGGCGGGGGTCAAATTGAGGCCCCCACACCCAGCGAGGGGTATCCAACCGGCCACCCGGGCGCGTTTTAGACCATATATTTCTTTTGGGCATTGGCACACCCCGTAAAGACCGTTTAGAGGAAAAGTCGTTGGTCGGTCTAAGAATTGCTCACACTACACTCACACATAGTTACATGTTCCTACGTCACCGTCGTCCCGCTGTCATCTGTGTGATCATCCACTTTCGGTTAAACATCTCATCATTCAGTGCACCAAACATAAAAAACGCAGTGATGTGAAGGCCTAATATCCTCGGCACAATATTGAATTTTCTTTTAAAAATGTTCTTGGCGATGACCATCCTCATTTGCTTGACTTGCTTTTCAATTTCCTCAGGCTTGTCGGCCTGCTTAACACAATGTAAAAGTCAATAACGAACGTGCCGCTTTTTGTCCACTCACGTTGTTATAGTGGTTTTTGAAATTGATATATTCCGGGCGTGAATTGGTCCGAACGGGCCGAAACGGCTAAACAAATGAAATCAAAATCAAATCGTGTCAAAAGTCCGACCCTCTGGTCCTCTATCCTGCTTCATCATGTAGTCCTCGCGACACCCCGCCTGTCCGGGGCAGGCTGCATGCGTTAGCCACCAGTGGGCCGAGAGCCTATTGGGAAGGACAATAATTGCCTCACATTGCCTCAGGACATTAATACCATCTGCTTCGACTTCTATTTAGAACAAATGCCTCGTGCCTTAAAACACCCAAAATAGCCCTCCACTCTGACCTCGAATTCGACGGTTCTGCTGTGTTCGTTACCATCCATTCATGATTTGTCAGTTGAGCAGCAATCCGAGCAGCAATCAATCAAAGCAGGGTGGAACAGCAATCCGGGCGCCAGCCAGTTCGTCGCCACACTCCGTCACTTGCACGGGACGCAGCAAGAACATCACGAGACTGGATCCCTACATCCATCCTGGCTGTGGGCCACAGTCAAAATCAGCGGGGTGGTGGTGGCACGTGCGACACCGACAGCACCGAGGTGCTCGATATACTGGCAGATCATGACTACCGAGCGGGGCTGTCCTCCGTGGTCCCCAATGCTAGTCTGCAATATCGCTGTGTTCGTCGTCCGACGAGTACTGTACAGAAAAGGCTGTGCCACCCGCTTAGAAGCAAGCACAAGATGCAAGCAAGCAAGCAAGCAGAAGCAACGTGAGCCTCGGGAGTGCGACGACCCCACATCCTTACGTCACCGTCGATGGCTGAAAAACCACAGTGGGCTGATAAATCCGTCCGTAGGAGCAGTCAAGAGGTGGTCCTGAGTGCTGAGGAGGAGCTCCGCCGCCATATTGTACGGATGGAGGAAGCTTGCCATGCAGTGCCCTGGTGGATGCTGGAGAGTGCGGTGGTGCGCTGCATCGCTACCTAACGACGTGTGCGATCCCGGCCACCACCCGCTGGAAATTCAGCACGATTTGGAAAACCATCACACTGAGGTGATCAGGAAGCTGGTGGCCACCTACCGACGGGGGTGTCTTCATCACCGGGCGAAGCTGCACAACGCACGCCTGCAAGGGGACAGGATACGCAAAAAAATGAACTAAAACTGGGCTGTTAAGAGGACATTAGACTAGCTGTAGGTGACGACATTGTGTCTGCATTTGTCCGATGGTGTAGCCAGCTAATAGCCGTTCTCACAATTTTCACACCTTTCCGATCGTCAGGTTTGCTCGGCATATTCTCTGCTCTCTGTTTAGGCCTCTGCTGAACCTTATCTGGGATTTCCTAGGAAAAGTAAAGAAGAAGTTTCACTGTCAATTCGCCGAAAAAGTGTGCGAGAATCCTGGACGATTTTCTTGAAGGACGTTTCTGGCGCCTCGCCAAGGTCCGG